CATTTTCTACCCAACAGTCACTCCTTTCAGACCCTGCTAAGATATAGTGATACTATTTTTGCAGCTTAGACCATAGTACCCTTAAATCCTTCCAAATGTGTAGACAAACTATTTTTAAATACCATTTCCCAGGTCACTACACACAGTGCTGCTCAGTCATAGAGAGTGAGAATGTTCATAAGTGTGAATGCAAGAGCAAACACTAACAATTTGGTTCTTTATGGTCACAGATGCAGCAAATAAACCTGTTTAACCTACATTGTGATAAAGAAAATAAGGTAAACTGTTAAATCATAATAGTGGAGATCCGAAAGTGTCCTAGGTCCAGAACGAACATTCAGTGGGTAAAGGGAAATCAAGAAATGCTTCCTGTTAGGGAAAAGGGACACCAATGATTTTTTGATCAGTAAAATTTTGGAAAGTACTAAATATAAAACAAAAGCTTAAGAGAGGTTGAGCATTTTAGAAAGCATCCTACATAAAGGGCTCACATGGGCTGAATGGACGAGGCAGTTTAGTGTCAGACCCTGCTTCCAATCCCAGCTCTGCCACTCTGGAGGTTAAAAAGTTACTCAACCTCTTGTACTATCGGTTTCCTTACCTCTAAAGTGGGGATAATAATACCAACTTAAAGCATCATGGAAAGATTAAATGAGATAGTGGGTGTAAGGTGCCCCACTCACTCACCGCAGGTACCTAATGAAGTTGCTTTCTTGGATTGTTATAAAATTATCTTAAGTGCACACACATGTACAAAGGTACACACTCATCATTTCAGAGCAATCTTTGAGGTCAAAACAGGAGACAAAAATTCAATGCAGTCCTTATCAAAACACCAATGATGTTTTTCACAAAACCTGAAAAAACAATACTACAAATCATATATATACATATTTTAAAAAGATCCTGAATAACCAAAGCAATACTAAGCAAAAAGAACAATGCCTGATTTTAAGACATAGTTCAAGCCAGACACAGTGGTGCAAACCTGAAATCCCAGTGGCTTGGGAGGCTAAGGCAGGAGGATCACAAGTTCAAAGCCAGTCTCAGCAACTTAGCAATGCCCTGAACAACTCAGCGAGATCCTGTCTCAAATAAAAAATGGGCTGGAAATGTGGCTCAGTGGTTGAGTGACCCTGGGTTTAATCCCTGGTACAAAAAAAAAAAGACATACTTCAGAATAATATCAAAACAACAACATGGTACGGGCATAAAAACAGACAGGTAGACCAATGGGAGAGAGTAGAGATCCCAGAAATAAACCCACACATCTACAGCTGATTCTCGAAAAAACATACATTGGGAAAAGGACAGCCATTTCAATAAATGGTGCTGGGAAAACTGGATACTCACCTGCAAAAGACCCCTATCTCTCACCCTATACAAAAGTCAACTCAAGATGGATCAGATACCTAAATATAAAAGACCAGAAACTCTGATACTACTGGAAGAAAGCACTTCAAGATATTGTTATAGGCAATGATTTTCTGGATAGAACTCCATTAGCTCAGGAAATCAAAGTAAGAATTAACCAAAAAAAAAGGGATTACATCAAATTAAGAAGCTTCTGCACAGCAAAGGAAACAATCAACAGAGTAAAGAGTCAACCAACAGAATGGGAGAAAATATCTGCCAATTATTTATCTGACAGAGGATTAATGTTTAATAACTCAAAAAAACTTAAGAAAAAACAGTAATCCAATTTTAAAATGGGCTAATTATCTGAATAAACACTTCTCAAAAGAAAAGATACAAACAGCCAACACATATATGAGAAAATGCTCAATATCATTAGCCATCAGGGAAATGCAAATCAAAACTATAATGAGATACCATCTCAATCCAGTTAGAATAGTTATTATAAAAAAAATGCTGGCAAGAATGTGGAGGAAAAGGGACTATTCTATACTGTTGGTGAGAATGTAAATTACTATAGCCATTATGGAAATCAGGATGGAGGTTCCTCAAAAAACTAAAAACAGATCTACCATATGATCCATCTATTCCATTCTGAGCACAGATCCAATGGAATTGAAATCATCATACCAAAGACATCCCTGTATCCCCACATAGTACTTACTTACTATTCACAATAGCTAAATACAGAATTAAAATAGAAGCCAGTCAACAGATGAATGGATATAGAAAATGTGATATATCATATATGTGATATAATGTATACTCATATATATGTGTATATGTATACATATCATATATGTATATACCTACATACATATATATCACATGTCAGTATCATATATATACTTAATCACATACATATATCTGTGATATAGATATATGTATATATATATGTGATAAACATATAAATATATGTATACATGTATAGACATACATGTACACATATACATTGCATGTATTATATATGTGTATGTGTATATATAATACATGCAATAGAGCATTGTTTAGCCATAAAGAAGAATAATACCCTGTCACTTGTGGCACAATGCATGGAACTAGAGGAAATTATGTTAAGTGAAATAAACCAGATACAGAAAGACAAGCGCCACATATTCTCTCATTATGTGGAAATTGAAAAACTCAACTCAAAAGCAGAATAGTGGAGACTAGAAAGGGAGAGATGGGGTAAGGAGGTCAGATATGATTCATGTGTGCCATATGCATGTATGGAACTATCATACTGAACCCCATTGGTGTGCACAGTTAATACATGTTAATAAAGTTTTAATCTTTCTGAGAGTATAACCATGTCTGCATGATTTGAATTATGGTAGATTTTTTTTTTTAAACTGGGACAAGGGGCTGGGGTTATGGCTCAGTGGTAGAACACTTGCCTAGCATGTATGAGGCACTGGGTTCGATTCTCAGCACCACATATAAATAAATAAACAAAATAAAGGTCCATCAACAACTAAAATATACATAAAAATAGTAAAAAAGACTGGAACAATCCAGGCACGGTGGCACACGCCTGTGCCTTAGTGGCAGCACCATAATTAGTACATCCACACTCCCCCCACCACAACTATCCTTTACTCTGGCACTGAGCTCTTTCAGAAAGGACGGGGTCAAGGAACAGGTAACAAATAATTACTGAAATAATCAGTAAATGCATGAATAAGCTAAGTGACATCACTAATGTTAGATATATATTCTGATACCTCACACCAAAAGCATTTATCTAATGGGCAGCAATAAAACACAAAGCAATGTACAGTTATGAAATCCTATTTATACCTGGGGTGGAAGGATTTATAGTTCTGTTTATTAAAGAGGCAAGTCAGATTATCAAGACTAATTTAAGCCAGGCACAGTGATGCATGTCTGTAAACCCAGCTACTAGGGAGGCTAAGGCAAGAGGATCGAAAGTTCAAAGCCAGCCTCAGCAATTTAGCAAGTCCCTAAATAACTTAGTGAGACCCTGTCTCAGAATAAAATATCAAAAGGGCTGGGGATGTGACTCAGTGGTTAAGTGCCCCTGGGTTCAATCCCTGGTACCAAAAAAGAAAAATCAAATTTAAAAGAATATGAATATGATTATGAAGGTGCCGAGCCATAAGTAGCATACAAATTCCCCTGCCTCATCAGGGTCATTTGAAATAAAAGAATAAATCATGAGTCAGCCCAAACATGTTGATCCTACAAAATGCTGGGCTGTAGAATTTTTTTTATACCTTTATTTTATTTATTTGTTTGTTTACTTACTTATTTATTTATTTAATGTGGTGCTGAGGATCAAACCCAGTGCCTCACCCATGCTAGACAAGCACTCTATCTACCTGAGCCACAGTCCCAGCCCAGCCATCAGAATTTAATGTGTGTGACTCCCAGACTCATAAAGCATTGTGGAAACTTGGGCTGGGGTTGTGGCTCAGCGGTAGAGCGCTCCCCTAGCACTGGCGGGACCCTGGTTCGATTCTCACCACCACATAAAAATAAAGGCATTGTGTGGTGTCCATCTACCAAAAAAAAAAAAAAAATCCTCTCTCTCTCTCTCTCTCTCTCTCTCTCTCTCTCTCTCTCTCTTAAAAAAAAATGTGGAAGCTGTCTTTTCCATCTCCCTGCCTTCCAAACCTTAGAAGCCCCAGAAGGATGAGACTGTCCCCTGCTTCCATGAAAGTCACTACCTTCCACCACTCCCCCTCTCGACGGTTCAGGAGGGCGTCTAAAAGAGGACATTGGGCAGCTGACCTTCACCTCCAAGGCTCTCGCCCTGCATGGAGCTCTCAGCCAGACTTTCCAAACTCTCAGGCCTCCCAGACTCCTCAAGCCTCCTGCTCCAATCCTCCTCAGCTTACCACCCTGGTTGACCCCCAGCCCTTCGCCTCCACAGCCCACCCTGCCAAGCCCACCCCGCCCTTATGGGTGTCCTCTTGCTTCTTCAGGTTCCACCCCAAGTTCTTTGCCTTCAGGTTCTCGGGATCTCTTCTCACTAATACCCAGGGTCTGTAGAGGCCTTAGCACCTGACACCTCAAATATGTCCAAAAGCAGCAAGGTTGATGTTACTGTTACTGTGATCATTATTATTTCCTCGCCCAGAAACCACTGAAATGACTCTCAAGCCTACAACAGCTCCCTCACCCACACACCTGGAGGCCTTGGATAGGTTAATGCAGCCCTGCTTATTTAAAATTCTCCTTTCTTTGGCTTCTAGGGCACCATCTTATCCCAGCATTTCTCAGAGTTCAGATCCACGACAATTCATCACCACCTATGGATGGACTCGAATTGGAACATCCAAAGCCCTTTCTCCTGCTGCTGCATCTGGCCACCAGATCCAAAGCCAGGTGACATAGGGCACAGCCTGCTCCCACATCAGGGCCCTTGCACTCGTGGTCCCTCTTGCCGCACATTGTCACAGGTGTCACTCTCTGGTGCCAAATGTTGCCCACCCAGAGAGGACTTCCCTGACCACCAGGAGCATGGCCACCCAAGCAAAACTCAGTGACCGACCAAGACAAAATCAACACTGCCATCCCTCCCCACGGGTCGCTCCATGCTTGGATTGCGCCCTGCTTACCTGGATCAACGTCTCCAGCTCCTGGGGACTCACGCAGATGTGATCCCGCAGGAATTCCGCCTTCTCCAGGGCGATGGTGTTCTTCTGGCTGCTCTCAAAGGGCTGCTCCAGTGCCCGGAAGACGAGACCTCCCGTGACGAGGTAGACCACCACGACCACAAAGATAGCAACCACGGTTTTCCACTTCATGACGGTCTGCAGGCCCCCCTGGGAGGCGCCTTCCATTCTGGCTACCACCGTGGCGCGGGAGGAAATGGAGAGGCGAGGAGCCGGGTGGGGTTGGTGCCCGTTAGTGGTGCTCTTGGGCTGACACACCGGCGGGGCTGCTGCAGGAACGGCCACTGAGGGTGGGGTGAGGGGGAAAGAGAGTGTTGTTTATGATCACAAAGCACAAAACTTGTCAGCAACAAAGCCCAGATGTCCTCCTTAAGCCAGCTCTCAAATGTGAGGATTAAAAACTGGTTCACCGAGGCTGCAGGTAGGGAATTTGATCCCTTGCTAGGTACCCATTTTGAGTTCTTACAAAGGACCACCAGGAGTCCTAATTTTGAAGACAAAAAAAAAATTATTAATTGAATTTTGAAATGCTTATATTTTTCTGCAAGCATCCAAATTGGAAAACCACTTCCCTGTTATTTATGATTCATCTCCTCCCCTAGCTTCCTTGTTTAAACAATGTGTAAGAAACGCCAAAAAATAAACATCTTTGAAAAACAGGCATAGCATTCAACTGGAGAAAATTAAACAGGAGAGGGATACCCAGCTAGTCTATCCAAGTACAAATACAGAGAGGAGATGAACATCGATGACTAATAAAAGACTGTCTCGTCACCCAAGTAGAGTGATCTTGTGGATGCAAAGGGAGTCAAAAATCAGACACAGAAAGGAAGGTTTGGGTTTCTGAAGACCAATAGTAATGAAGATAAAGAAAAAGACAGGGGGTCAGAATGAGGGGTGCAAACAAAGTCAATGATTTATGTTAATTAGCGAAGCTTTGTGACAAAAATCATAAGAATAAAATCAATCCCAAATGTATTTCCTAAAAGAAAATGAAATGGCTTACTTAGATGTAACTGTCCCTGATCTGTTAGTAATAGGATTTGGCTTCTATTGTCTTCCAATAAGAAGTCACTGAAAAGGAAATTTTCCCTGGTTTTCAGAACACAAGGAATTCTCTAAGGTCCCTGGTTCTCTGTGATGGCAATTTCATTACCTTGGAAATAAGTAAGTTAAGCTGGTGGCTCTTCTGCAACAACAGAGAGTTCAAGGTAGTGTCCCCCACATAGTGCTGCTGTGCATTGCGGAAATCTTGTACAGCAGTGACCCATCGTGGCACTTCCATTCAGTCGTCCCTTATTATTCTAATTGTTATCATGGCCTCTGTGGTGGTGCAACCTGGCTGTTATGTAAACAAGGTATTAGGAGATGGCAAACCTAAGTGAGGCCAATGATCCACTCCAGCGGGGCTGAACTGCCCAATCTCTGCACTGGGGAAGTCAAGGTGAATCAAAGAGCCGGAATCTCACTCCTAGTTCAAAATATCAATGATCCTACCAACACCTGGCTGTCGGCATGGCCGCTTGAAAAATCTAAATCTGCCTCTCATCCTAGACCCTCAAATTCAGTTTTTCTCTTTGGAAACTAAGCTGAACATCGATCTTTCACTGTATATGATTCTTTACAATAGAATCATTCAATGCTAAATTATCCTGGGGTTTAACATGAATGCAAAATTCTCTAGGATCTCAGATTGAACTATGTATAAATTAGAATCGCCACCACTCTGTGGCAACTGGAAGGATAGCCTCCAAGGTACCCCCAGGCAATCCCCAGAACTCGTGATTGTCACTTTACATGGCAACAGACACTCTGCAGATGTGGGTAAATTAAAGATTTTGAGATGAGGAGATTATGGTGGATTAAGGTGAGCCCAATATAATCACAAGAAGATCACAAAGAAGGAGACGTGAAGGAAGAAACAGATATGGGAGTGATGTGACCACAAACCAAGGGATGTGGTCCCTCTTAACGAAAACCCAAGGAAAAGATTCTCCCCTAGCACCTCCATAAAGAATCAGCCTTACACCTTGCCCAGTAAAACTGATTTTGAACTTTTTTTGACTTCCAGAACCATATTATTATTGATTAGTGCCGTTTGAGGCCCTGAAGTTTGTGGCAATTTGTTACAGCAGCCACAGGAAACTAACACACCCTCTACTAGATTAGGTCCCCCTGCCTAGAGCTCACTGCACTATGTTACTGATGGAGTCTGGTCACTTTTCCAGAAAACTCATTATACTGAACGTTCCATGAAGACAGGCACTGTGTCCACCCGTCACCTCTGAATTCCCAGTGTTCTGCATGATACCTGGCACACAGTGGGCAGCCAATCAATGATGACTGACTAAGTGAAGGAAGGAATATTAGCATAGCTGAACCACACATACAATGCCAATGAGAAGTGTCAGATAGAAAGCAACTTGACGGTCCAGCGGCACTGAACAGCAGGTCCTCAAACACAGCAGTGCTCTGTTCACACCACCACCCCTCTTCAGAGGTTCTCACAGTCAGGAGCCTCCTCCCCACCCTCATCTGCCTGGCCAACCCCCCAACCTCCTCGATGCTGGCCTCCTCCGGGAAGTCCTCCTGGACACTTCCTGGCAGATTCAGCCTGAGCGTCTCCCCCACTAGCCTATCAACCTCTTGGAGTCAGAAAGCTCATCTTTTAATCACCGATCTCCACTTCTTGGCACAGTGCCTGGCCAAGCCAATGTTAAACAGCAAATGTTTATTTTCTGTTGTTATTGATGTTGATTACTCCTTCAGACTACATGCCGCCCAGAATTGCCACTACCCTCAATGGGAAGCATTTATATGATACTGATTGAATGGAAATAAGTCACAGTTCCCCCCAGCTTTGGGGTGGTGACAGTCCACTTAGGGAACACACCCTACAGTACCAGGTAACTAAAATTGGGATAAAGTCTTATCAGGTGACCAAGGATGGCCTGACCATAGAGGCTAGTTGGAGCTGAGTCCCCTTCACTGATCTCCATCACTGATCTCCGGACCTTCTAGCATCCCCGAGGCTGAGCAGAATTGGGCATGAGAAAGGTCTTTTTAGGCCAGTTCCTGGTGCCTGCTTGCTAGGAGAATGTCCCTAGGAGAGAGTTTGGACAGAATCCAGCAACTCCTTAGTTTCCAAAGCACTGGAGCAAAAACTAGAACTTCAATCCCAAACCTCTCAGTGACTGGCTGACCTTGAAGTGGTCACTGGGCTCCTCTGTTTGCTTATCTGTGCGATGTGAGTAATAGATGCGGTTTTCTTGTTGTTTTTGACCTGAGGGTTGTCACGAACAGCAAATAAGCTGCTGGGTTTACTGATGGGAGCATATTTGTAGAAGTCAGGAGTACTGGCAGGGACCTGAGGACACTGCAAAACCTTTTGTGCATTTGACCAAAGATGAAGTTAGCCTCTTTAGCATATATGAGTGCACTTTTTGAGGGCTGGAAAGGAATTTGGACAAACTCCTTAAATTGGAAAAACTTTAAAAACTTCCAAAGGGTGTTTGAATTAGTCCATTTCTTCTCTTCAGGAACCATAGTTGTTCTCCCACTAACAAAATTGTCCTGTGATCTGGGATGAGCCTCTGGAGGTCTCTGTGCCTGGTGCAATTGAAGAAGCAAAATTAGACAGATGACGCTGATGGTGGTGATGGTTGCTAAGGTGGCAGGAGCCCCTACCACACAGTGAGCACTTACCTGTGCCTGTCACTCTGATAAATGCTTTGCTGATATAGCTGGCTTTGGACCTCACCATGAAGGATTATCACACTGTGTGCATCCGGGTCCTCCCAGAAGCAGATGTTGAGAAGGGATTATACGTGCATGGGTTTTAATAGGGGAAATGTCTATGTGAGAGAAAATGAGAGGGAGTCAGCAAGGCCAGAAGGGTCATCAGACACTGTATCAGGCTGCCCCTGAGTGAAGAAAGGGGACGAGAGAGGAATGTAAGTGTCCCGCATCACCTGCACTCTAAGGAAGGTTCAGAAATGTTATCAAGGACCCTTAAGCCCTGGGTCTCCCAGGACATCCTTCTTGTAACTCAGCCTGTGGGGCCCATAGGAAAAGACCTACCATGCAAAGCCAGCAATGGATTTATCCTGCCCCCCTTTCGTGTGTAGTACTGGGGACTGAACCAAGGAGTGCTCTATCACTGAGCTTTTTTAATTATTTTAATTTGAAACAGTATCTCACTAAGTTTCAGAGGCTGTCCTAAACTTGTGATCCTCCTGCCTCATCCTCCCCTGTTGCTGGGATTACAGGCATGTGCCACCACACCTAGTTCCAACAATGGATTTCACAGCAGCAGCGGTGGCTCTAGGTCACTGACACTCCTTCTAATGGAATCCTGCAGGCACCTGCTCACTGTCACCACCCAGCCCCACTGCACAGGTACAGAAACTGAGACCCAGGCAGGTTAAATAGCTAAGCCAAGGTCAATACCCAGAAAGTAGTGGAACCAGGATTAAAATTGGAATACTCTGACTTCAAAGTCCGTTCTCCTGTGTGTCATTAGGAACAGGACAGTAGGAAGCAAAGCAACTTCAGGGGGAAGGGCATTTGTTTCAGACTGGCATTATAGCATTTCCTAGTCTATGAGGTTAACTACTTCGTTTCCTAGTGGTGATAGAGCTCTTTTCCATAGAACATATCAATAATGGGTGCATCATAAAAAGTAATAGCCTAGAATACCTCACAGTTCCAACAGAAAAATATTTGGCAGAAAAATAACTGCAGAGAGTTGACAAGAAAGGCAATTTTGGGACTGAGGATGTAGCTCAGTGGTAGAGTGAGGCCCTGGGTTCCATCCCCAGAACTGCAAAACAAGAAATGTTGGAAGACAATGCTCTTCAGTTATTGGTCATTTTTAAATGTTTCCTCACACATATTAGTACATTTCCCTTTTACCTAAATATGGGTGGGTATGGAGGTAGCCATGGAAATCAGCTTTTTCATAGTTCAATTCTTAGTAATTCTATATTCTTCAGGTTTTCCCATGCTCCCTAGACTCCACTCCATCGTTAGTTCATGTATTCAATCAGCAAACCTTTGAGTTTGCCTGTCACCGTGTTTGGCACTGGGGGGTTGTAAATGAGTGACACATCCCTGCCTTCAGAGTTAGTGGGAGAATTGACAAAGCTCTTAATGCAGGAACCCGTTCTTTTCACACAACCATGGGTGGAAGGCAGGGACCATTATCTGCCCTGCTTCATGGGTAAAGAAATTGAGACCTTGAATCACTTTTCAGAAGTCAGTGAGCGAGCAGTGGCATGCCTGA